CACCAGCCTTGTTTTAAAGAGGCTGGCTAGTGACACTTGAAAGAAGCAATTGACTGTTATTTTTCCAGTGAGCATTGTTTTCTCCCCTAATTATATTATTACAGCTGTGGCAATATTGTACTTTGAAGTAGGAATTAAAGAATGGATGAGCATGAGAATGTCCTTATCTGGAGATGACAGCAACAGATTAGTTACAAAAATTGTGTCAGCCTTCTTCCATTTCAGGGAGTTCAGTAATTGATCTAATTCAGTCTCTAAGGACCCTCAGTGCCAAGGCTTGCAAGGTAAATTCTTTCAAAAGTTCTCACTTTTATTACATCCTCCCCATCATCAAGAAAGGGTTCAGGGGAAAGGTAGAATGATATATCAGTAGCTTTAGGGGGTCAAAGTTAACCCAAGCCATCCAACATCTGGCAGTTCCCTTGCATTATTATATTATAAAGTTACAAATTAACTTGCATTGGGAGACTATATCACATATATAAATATTATTTGCTAGCTATGTGAGTTTGAGAGAAATAGAGAAACATTAACTCACAGAGTAAATGCCCAATGCTTCTTTAGTGAGGCTCTGTACCAGTATCTTTACAACTTTCATCCCCACCACTCCACAAAGCCACTCAACTGTCTTTGAACACAGGCCTCCACTTATCTGACTCTAGCTCTCTTCTCTCATTCTCCAGAAGTCTATCACTGGAGCCAAATCACCTCTAAGTTTTACAAATTCTTCAACTTCCTCTTCTGTGAACCCTACAGCATGGAAGAATTGCACATGCTCCCTAGTAGGATCACAGGGCTTGTAGCTGCCCAGTAGATTGTCTTTACACATCAGACCTCGTATCACCAGGCAAAATACGCTTAGTGAAGATGTGTTCATTTAGCTAAATTATATGTGGAAATTTACTGCTTTTCCCATCTGCACTACTAAAGGGCACTTGTAGTCCAAAGGAATTGTAGAGTCTTTGCTAAGTGGCCATATGGTCCCTGTCCTCAGTGTGTATGTCTGTGAGCCTCCAGTAAAGAAGGTTAAATCCTTCTTTCTAGGTTAATGACCTCTAGAGTCCAATTAAATTAAGCTTTATCTCCAGTCCGGAGAATTAATCTCCAGGTGAAAACAGCTTCAACTATTAAAATCTTCAATATGGTCATGGTCTAGATAACTTCTGGCTTCAATTTATTCACTTATTACTAAATGTGTTCTAGAACCTGAAATCTCATTGTTTATCCAGTCCTCATCTATGTCTGTGTGGAGCATGCATTCTATAATTATAATGGCTGGCACACTTTCTCAAAATTCCACCCTATTTGTTCAGAACCTTGGATCATGCCACTCCTAGTGTTCTGGATGGCTCCTACTTCACCACTTCCTCCCCAGGTTAACAAAGGAACTGATAATAAAATAGGTCACCTTGACAAAAAGAACTGGGCAGATACAACTCATCATGATCTCCCTTGTTTGGAGCTCCACCCGAGTAAGTGCAGAACCGGAAAGCTATATTGCTTTAGAAACCAACTTCCATGATAGATTGTTTGATTTACCATTTCTGCCTAGGACTGCATGGACGGTACAGTTCTGGGATATTTCTTCCTATACACCTTTTAAAGTGATGAACTGTACGTTTGATCTCCATTTGTTTCTTTCCTCTGCTTCAGTTAGGTTCTAGCTTTGATCAGACAAAATAGGTTCTTTACACATTAATCCCTTCAAAACCCAGCAGACCAGATGGAAACCTCCAAGTGGATAAGAATCTTGGCAAGCTTTGTCATGGGTTTGAACACAGAGAAGGGGCACCGTCAGTGGTGGTTAAAATTGAGCAGAGAGCAAGCCCACAGATCTGGCTTTAAAGATGTTCCCTTGCTTCTCTACCATGTCTTGCTTCTCTGTAAATGCAATGACATTATGCATTTTTCTCCCAGCAATACTGAAAATACAAAACCAACTTCAGTAGGAAGGAAAAAACTGCGTGGATCTGGGCATATTCTTCATATTGATTCATGTTCCACTTCAGATCAGTGTCTCAAGATTCTAAATGACCAAGGCGATCCAGGCTCCCCATCTTAGAAAAAAACAACACAGTGGCAAACTCACTGTGTTAACAGCAGAGACAACAATTTTTTTTTCTTTTCAGTTTTACTTTTTTTTTGAGACAGGTTCTGTCTACTTAGCCTAGCCTGGATTTGAACTCATGACCTTCCTGCTTCAGTTTCCTGAGTGCTGAAATTACAGACTGGCACCATGGTACCCAGATGAAATTTCCTGATTTCTTGACTAGAAGGTCATTTGCAGCAGCAAAGTCTACTATCTTCTACTCAGATCACATCACAGGAGCATGAACAACCTTCTTTACACTCTTCTTTGTGCAAACAGAAGCTTAGAATGGCCTCAGTCTTGGGATATTCCTTCTAACACCCCCCCCAAGACATAACCCGTTGTCAATAACTGAGGTATATTTCTATCTCCTGATTTGATTAGAGGTGTAGGAATGTAAGTGTACCAAACTTATTTACACCTGTTAGACTTTTCCACGAATCCACAAATCTGAGAAGAAATTTCAGAGAGTTCCCAAAATGAGATTTGTTGTTAAAGACAATCATTTCAGTACCTTTAAGTTACATTATATAAAATCAACGTATTTCTGCTGCTTTTATTTTCTCCCTGGTGCCACTTATTCCTTTTATTTTTAAATATTTTTAAATTTATTCTTGGATTATTTCACATGTATACAATGTATCTTGATCCTATCCATTCCCAGCTCCTCCCTCCTGCTCCTCCTTGGAATCTCCCCTTCCCACCAACTCTTCTCTTAAACTGTACTGACCAAGAAGCTTCATCCCTGCCCCTATTAGCTAGTTCTCATAGTACCACAAGGAGATGCCCAGGCTGCTCAGGGAGAAAAAAATCATCAACAGTCTTATGTAACTGCTAACACTGTGAGCTGTACTAATGACTGACCTGGCAGGATATTTAAATGGGTACAAATGTGACACGAATGTTATGGGGGTGACCAAGCACTCTATGATTTTTTTAAGGCTCACTCCACAGGAGAAAACTCATGCCTGGTACTATAATCCTGGGTCAAGAACCCATGGCTGGGAGGTCACATGCCTTAGGGGAGAAAATTCTATTATTTCACTAAATATGCATGGTATCAAAGGACCTCTATACCCATAGATTAATGTAGCTCTCAGTTCTTTTCAGAGATGCATCCTTGTGCAGTGGACAGTGGTTAATGCAGAGTCACAGCTGGTCACAGTGCAGAGAACAAGTATCTGTAGAGCACTCAGCCGTGAATGGGACATCTATATCACACGCTCTCCTGTGCATCTCAGGGAACTTTATAGAAGAGGTAGCAGAAACACTGTAAGAGCCAGAGATCCAGGAGGACTGAGGTAAATCAGTGTCTTCTGGACATGACATGGCTTCTGCCTCACAAATTCATGGCAGCTGTGGTTGCCTGCATGCAACTCACACAAAATCAAGCCAGTGGCCACTCCAGAATGAATTATATATGGGCATATGAGCCCCTAACCCTAGCTGAGAAGCTTTTAATAATTGATGAGTGCCTAGGGGAGGGAAAGTCAGTTTTCTTTAGGTGTGTGGTCCCTGGTAAGTTGACCATGTTCCAGTAGATGGTCCCATATTATACATATATAGGCAGCACTAATTGGACTCAGAGGGTTATTTTTTTAAAAAAAGACATGCAGGTGGGAGGAGATACGTGAGGGGAGGCTTGGAAGAAGCTGGACAGGACTAGTGGGTGATGAACAAGAGAGAAATATATTGTGTGGATGCATGAATTTCTCTAAGAATAAATAAAATTATTATATTTAGAAACATCCTTATGATTTAATATCAGTAAAGAAAAGAAAATGTACTTCCATTTACTCTAAGTCTTTGTGTAACATCCTTTACCTGAGGGGATAGCTGCTACTTTACAGACATCTACCAGTCTCAGAAACTGAGTAGACAACTTAGATACCATTGATGGGTGTTAGAACTCTGACCACTTCTAATCAGAAGAGCCCACAGGACCATGCATTGAACCTTCTGTTCAGAAAAGCCACCCTTACTCTGTAGAAAGGAAAATCCAGAGGACAGCAGTTCATCCAGTTCATCTAAGGGCCTACCCACGACTTACCCTTCCACAGTTGATCTCCCTCATCGCGACTTGTGTGGGTTTAACCATCAGCCACTGCTTATTTCTGGATAATAAGACACACTCTTCGCTCAGCCTTATCCATCATATCCCTGTGATCATTCAAGTCACTTCAGTCTGGTACTTTCATACTCTGACAGAGAGGTTAATGAAACATCATGTCTTAAGGGTTGCTGCAACTAATTTTTTCTCTAACTCCTATGTAGAGTCACTTGGATTCCTAAGAAAACACTCCAACTGTCATTTACATTATATACAGAATATATAAATCAATTATATATTGAATATGTAATATCATATATATATATGAGATATACTCACATCAAAACAAATTTTTCATCATACACAGATGTTGGCAGGCTGTGGCATTTACTGTCTTACCAGTGAATGATATTTGCTTTTCTTTTCCTCTAAAATGTGTTCATAAGCATAGTTTTCAAAATAACTTCAGCATGTACATAGCATTACTCTTTCTACCAAGGCCCATAACAAGAAGCACAGAGTTTTAAAAGGCTATTTAAGATATCACCTATGTCATGTGCCTTCAGTTGTGACATGTCACAGTGCTCATTCACACTAAACCACTAACTTTGCGGAGGCAGTAGATGTCTGACACATGCTATACAACTCACAGCACAAAAATATCATCAGGCATGTATTTTACTTCTATTTTTCTAGAATTGAGGTACAAAGAAGTTATATCCCTTGCTTCAAACCACAATTGTCAAGTGAAACAGTTGGATCTGAACAACCAGTCTAATGCTGGAGTCTAATGCTGTTTATACCTTTAAAACACATGAAAAAGAAAGGTTAGTCCAGAGAGGAACAATTTTGGCTACATACCTCATACAATTCAATAATGATGTTTCCCATTAGACCTCGGCTGCTCTTGATATTCTCCATGGCCAGAGTGAAGTAGATCCCACGTGTGTCTGAGATGTAGAGGTTGTATGTGTCATTCTGGTTCCATTCCTGAACTGCTGCAAACACTTGGTTCTCATCTGTACTGATGATGTGCATGTCCTGTAATGAGATGGAAGGCCTGTGAGGAAGCAGATTTCCATATAGCTCGCTTTCCACTGGGACCCCAAATAATTACCATGACTTGTGAAATGGTTGAGAAAAAACTTGAGTTATGGGCAATGTTAAGCAATTCTGTGTTGGACTAAGTCTGTAAATTATAAGCTGCAGGATTTCTATTACTTGCTAACTGACAGCAAGATGGGTGTAAGGGGCTTTAGTGGGCATCATTTTCTATGAATACAAGGGATTCGTCCACTCTCATTTTTTATTTTTATAACTGAAAGTTAGTGCTAGTCCTAATGGTGGCACATAGCCTTCCAAAAAGGACATTTACATATGTGAAGTGGAACTTAATTTGTCTTTTGATCTTCATTTATGGTGTGAAACTTTTCAGCACAGTGTTTTATACACTTTTCTTTAGAATGTTAAGTATGGAAGAAGATGGCATGGAGACAAATGTATCTGGCTCTAGACCTCTCACCTCACAGCACCACGTGAATCTGTTGTATGTCAAGTTCTGTGTAGTATTTAAGTAAAGGCGAAGGGGTGGTCTGCTTCAAATAAGATGAAATTATGCTTGAATGCTAACCACATTCAACTTGAAATTTAGTGTTCTGGTTCATAATATAAGCCCTAAACTCAATGACTATTGAAGGCATCAGTCTCCTTGAATTTCAATTTTCTCCATAAAGAGTGAAAAACTGGGATGCCAAAAAAAATGCCGAGTATTTAGGCATCATTCTAAATCATCTAAATGTATTTTTTTTAATTCAAAGTCAAAATAATTCTGATGCAGGTAGTATAGTTATTTCCATTTTACTTAAGGGTAAGCCAAGGAACATAAGAGTTTATCAAATTGTTTCAGACCCCACAGACAGCAAATGGTAGAATAAGGTTCTGAATATGTGAAGATCTGACCCCAACATAATAGTTAGCTTCATTTGAATACGCAGTTTTTATATTGGTGATTTTGAACTAGTAACACTGAAGCAAATAATAATTACAAATGTCAGTTTGACTCTATTTTGTATGGAATCACTAGCTCTGTAGGGTTCTAGGTAGAGTTAACATCACTGGGGTCTCGGTCCTACGTAGTTATATGTTCTTATGATCTGACCCTTTAATATTGGCATTAAGGTAATGATCCTTGAACTCATTTAAATTTCAAATCCCAGTCTGGATCATTCCTAAAGTCTAATTTAGTAGTTTACAATTCAAAAACAATTTACTAAAGCCAGTTCATACATATAAGTATGTCATGTTTGTCACAAATTTTATACATACCTAAGGCATTTTTACTTGTCTGGAGGACATACTGGCATGGATAAACATTTTCTAAGTGTGATGATTCTTAAAAAGAATGAAAATATATTTCTGGGTGCCACATAATACGTAATGATGGAAAGCCACATTTGCATCTGGGAGTAGGGCAAGGATGCACTAATAACAGGATCATTGGCAACTGGGGCCAACAGAAAACTAATAATCAGGCTGGGCTTAGCATTTGCTTTATTAAAACGACCTTTCCCACAAACTATTTTAAATAAAAACAGGAAGCAGATTTTCAGTGTCAGCATCACAATGAGATCTTGCCTGATTTATAAAGGAATAAGTCTCTGTGATCTTGGTGAATGGTAGGTGGGTTGACTGGACCTTTCATTGGAAGACCTTAGTCAAGTAGCTCTTAGCCTGGAAACTCTTTAGGTCACCTTGACTAAGGCCTCACTCACTCACTCATTTGTGCTTTCATACCTTGTAGAAAGTTCCTGGCTTACTCTTAAAAACCATGTGATGAAATTGTGTTGTGCTGGTATGGAACGAATGCCCAAGAACCCAGTAGGAGTGAAACAGCAGCTGCAGGAAATACAGATTAAATTTACTTACCCTGTTAAAAATGCAATAGAAATGCCTGGGTTTCCCAGATATTTTGGTCATAAAAATGAATGAGCTAAGTTCTTTTAGACTAAACTAATGTAAAATAAGTGGGGAAAAACTACTTAGAACACTAAGGCATAGTCAGGATTAGAGGCAGCCAGGTTTGCTGTGAGTACATATTAGGTAAATGCTATCCTGGGGCTGTGCCAGCTGGTGAGCAGGTACCAAGTCTTCAGCATAAGGAGCTAGAATGCCATTAGTGTCTGAGATTCCATTCTGTCCACTTGAGAAGTGCATTTGCCAGTCACTCAGCTGACAAATGACATTACTAAGATTTAAACCCAAGATTACCCTTAATCAAGAAACCAGTTTTTAAAACAGCATATCAGTGAGGATGTAACTTCAGTGTGACTCAAAGGATCAACAGATCCTCATCAATTTCTTTAGTATTTTCTTACTGATAAAAACAGGACTCTGTTGTAGAGTGTGAAGGCTAATCTCAGTTGTCAAGTGAGGAGAGTTAGAATTACTTGTGAGATGGACCTCTGGGCATGCCTGAGGAGAATTATATTGCTTTGATTAATTGAGGTGAAAAGACTCACCCACTATGGGTGGCACCATTCCCTGGACTGAGATCATGAACTGTGCAGAAAGAAGAAAGTGAACTGGGCACAAGCAACCATTGCTTTCTGTTTCTTGACATGGGTGAAACATGACCAGCAGCTTTAGTATCTGTTGCTGTGACTTCCCCACCACGATGGACTGTACCCCTGAACTGTGAACCAAAATAAACTATTTTTCTATTAGGTCGTTTTAGCTAGGGTATTATATTATAGCAACAGGGAAAGTACTAAGATACACAGGATGGTCTTTGAGTTCCTGAGCTCAAGGAATCTTCCTACTTCAGGCTCCCAAATAGTTGGGATAACAGGTGTGTGCCATCATGCCCATTGTGACCTTGAGATTCGAGACTCACAGGTCTAACTGCCTGAAACCAGGGCTGAGAATGCCTGGTTTAGAGCCTTATATTTTACCATCTAAATCAACTATCCAGATGATCCTAGTGTATCTGAGTAGTCTAAGGGATCTCTATTTGTAAAGTTTTATCATGTATGTCTAAATTTGACATTACAGCATGATACAGTAATCTACAAAATTCATATTCAAGAACCACACAACAAAGTCATAAAAATCGATAACATTTTAAGTAAATTTATGATTTTGTGTAAGGGTCCATGAATAGCTACCCTGGGCTACATGCAACCCTGGGGGCACAAGTTGCTAATGCTTGCGTGTGACTTTTCTCTAAATAGTTTCAAGAGTGAAGAGAGGCAAATCAGTAGTAACTAGAATCTCAAATCTTCAAGAATAAATAAAAGCAGTATTAATTTTAATTAGTCCAACAGGGTTTTGAACCATGGAACATTTTCTTGAATACAGCTACTCCCTCATTCTAATCCCAAATTATGCATTACTTTCTTGCTTGCTGGTCCTGAGACTATGCAGGAAGAAATTTGGTGATAAAAGGAGAAAACAAAGGAAAGAAAATACAATAATAATAACACAATTAAGCTGAGACTTTGCTAAAGTTGAAACAGGAAAAGTGTCAGAAATAAGCATGTACATTGCTTCATTTGTAAAGCAAAGATGAATAACAAGCCTCCTCCCACCCGCTGCTCTCTCAACAACAATTTGGGAAAAGCATAGTTGCTTTTTAAAAGACCAAACCAGGGACATTTTAAGGGAACATTAGTGAAAATGCTTCCCTAATCTTGAAATACTGTTCTTATAACCTGGACCAAGTAAAACTTTACCCTTACATAAACAACTTTTGGATTACATATTTGCCACATCCTACACACCACATTGGAGGTAGGACAAGGAATAAAAGATAAAACTTGAACCTAAGAAGATGACCCCCAATGGGACATGTGAAGACATTACATACCCTCATTGTCTTCTCAAGCACTGCATAGATACAATGGATATGGTGATTAGAATGAAATGCTTACAGGGGAGTGAGGGTGGCATGTTCAAGGACATCTCCATGCACAGTACTTAAGAACAGAGGGGTTACATCACACGGGATTTTGTGGGGCACACCTAACCTTTATTTGAAAAACAGCACAAAGTGCTCACAGTCAGAGTGGATGCATGAAGAGATTTGGTTGAAGAGTACCAGGTTCCTTGCATGATCTTATGTGTCATGGAAGCAGTTTTAAGAATGGATTTGAGTGAGGTGATGCTAGAGTGCAGACACACAGGCTTAAGAGGACTCTTGCACTAAACCAGATAATAATATGTGAGGGTTTAAACTAAAGAAGTAGATTCTTTATGCCGTGTCTATGAAAGGGGTTGGTGGGATATTAAAAATCTACAGGGAAATAGGGAGAAGGTATATCTACAGTGCTTTAGACGTCAGACTTACAAAATTTACTTTTTAAAAAAAGATATCACTCATTACAATCACTAGTGGTAAATGATCTCTTAATTATTTGTTTAATGTCTTTTTCTCTCAGTGGACTCTTAGTTTCTGGAGAGTAGAAACTCTTACTTAGCACTTTATCTCTAGTTCTTAGCAAAGAATCTGGTCTATCATATACAAACAGCAAAAGATCACCATGTAAATAAATGGAATATGCAAATAAACAGAAGAAGACAATGATGAAGGAATACATAGCCGACACTAACTCAGTTCTAGACTAGTTACACAATATCATTAAGAGGAGGTGCTTTGAATCAGTAGTTTGGTAGGTGACTTGGGGTTGACATACAGGCTGAGGCTGTTTGTGTCATAATCACCAATATCAACATGGGATGAAGTCACTCAGAGAGCATGCAGATTGCCATAAGAATTTAAGGACATCATCAATTCAAAAGTAGCTGGACGGAGGGCACATAGAAAAAGAAATCATAGTAAAACCCTAAAGGGAAGAGCATCGATATGGATTGGATTCGGGAGGTAGAGCATTTCATCAGATACTCCAGAGAAGTGAATGAAGTATAAAGATGTATAGTAGGTTTGGCATGTAGGTGGTCACTAGCAACAATGACTACAGGATTTCCACTGAAACACTGGAGAAATGGGTAAGAAGACAGAGGGGAACCAGCAGGAGATGGAAGAA